AACTGAACAAGCTTTAAGATGATACCAATAACTTTATATTATCCCCTAAAATCGACGAGAGCCTGACTCAAACGCGTCATGAAACATATATGTGAGGTTTCGTGGTGAAATCAGGCGTTCGTCAACATAATGAAATCAAAGAAATGGCAATTTTCCACCGGTTTATGAATCTTTTCGAATCTTTTTTAATGGTTCAACTCCTTTTTGGTCCATTAAAAACATATATCTGTGTTACGGAAAAAAGTGTACATTTTCAGCTTCTAAGGACTCTCTAGCTATAGCAGTCGGAAAACTTTGGCGGCTATTTTCTCTCTAATTTTAAGTCTGATACCAAGCGACCCGACCACCTTAAATCCCAAATATGCAACTTGTGAGTCCTATTTCTTTACTTTCTTTCTATTGTTTCTGTCTGTCTGTCTGTCTGTCTGTCTGTCTGTCTGTCTGTCTGTCTGTCTTAGTATTTCTCAGCACTAAATGACCAGTATTACGCCAAAACGCTTCTTCTCTTTACTCAAACAAACAAACCAAACCGACTGTGAAGCAAGTAATGATTCATGAAATAAACATACAGTCTAATTATAGACCAAATGGATTTGCAGTGAGTGGTTCTGTAAATATTTGTTGTGACAGTAAACAGCTGAGCGATGCCGTGACGTCGGTGGTCTAGTGGTTAGGCTACTGGACTGGACTCGTAATCGTGCGTGTGATTGCGGATTCGGGGGTTCGAGCTTCAGCTCTGTCCGACGTTGTGTCCCTGGGAAAGACACTTTGGATATTCACGAATTCCCCATTTGGCTTAGTCCTTTTCAGATGGATGTTAAACTCGGAGGTCTCGCCTCTTGAATAACCTAACAGTGTTGATTTGAGTGTAAAATATTTTACATCAGTTTCTCGATAAAAACTCCCCCTATTAAATAACCAAATAGTGTTGATAGGGGCGTTAAACCTATGTTATTTCAACGAGCAAACCCGTGAGTCAGATGAGCTGGCTCGTTGCGTAGAAAGAATTAAAGGCGAGGTTCGAGATGTTTGGAGCCTCGATTAACTTGATCTCTAGTGGTGTATGATTTGGAGGGAAATAAGGTTAATCGACGCTTCGAAGCGTAAACTCGCTATTCATGTTATTCGAATACAGCATATGAATGGAGTTTTGTTTGTTTGTTTTTTGTTTGTTTTGTTTTGTTATGGGTTTTTTTACTTGTATTATGATAAGTCCATCCCTAACTTCCGCTATTCAACATTCGGAAACTATTCACAGCGCTAATCGCAAGAGTCTCAATGGGCACAGATCTACTATCATCTATCGATTTTTTGCAAAACGTATCTTGAATGTGTAGGCTTAAATCTTTGCTTTTTTTAAACGGCCAAATGCGCAATTTGTGGTTAGCAAAGGAATTTTCAAAGAGCAATAAACAGCAATTAAAAATGTTATAGCTTGGAATTCTAGCAGAGTGTCCTCTGGAGAAGATGTTGTGTGATGTACATTGTTGTTGCTGTTTTTGTTGTCGTTGTTGTTGCTGTTATTATTGTTGTTGTTGTCGTCGCTGTCGTTGTTGTTGTTGTTGTTGTTGTTGTTGTTGTCGTTCTCGTTGTTGTTGTGGGTTTTTTCTTGTTCTTGTTCTTCTTCTACTTCTTCTTCTCGAGAAATTTGCACTTGCCAAGTGAGTAGATTTAGCACGTGATCTTAGCCTCCAAAAATGGGAACCTAAGTCAGTTAGTAGCTTCTATGATTCTATGAGTGCGTGTAAAAGATTGAATG